AGTGCTGGCTAAAAGCCCTGGGGGTGAGGCTCACAGTACTGGTTTCCAGGAGGAAGAGCCTTTGTGCATTTGACTGAGGCCAGTTTCTTTGAAGAGCAAGTAGCTGAAGAGAGGTCAAATTTACTGCTTTTTCCAGGACAATTCTGGAAGTAAAGAAAATGTAAGAATTCAAGCTGGTTAGCTTTTGTGCCATTTCTTTAACATAAGAGTAAGCTCTATTATGAAATACAACTTAAAAAAATTTTAGCTATAAATTATATAAATGATTTTAAATTGCTGAGGTTTCCTTAGGCAGCTTATTTATTTGTTTACAGTTATACTATCTGAGTAAATGGTTCTTTGTGGACCTGGGCAGTTCCTGACTGTTCCACATGTAGTACATTGTACCAAAGTTCTTAATGAGAATATTCCCCACAATCCTGTTCTCTAAATGTCAAATAAAGATTATTTTCACTAGATTCAACTTTACAAAATTTGTTTTATATCTGTTTGTTAGAAAATGTACAGACATAAGTTTCACCCTAGAGTATGTATATAACGTTTTAGCTTATCCATCCTTTCATGGAGCGCCTCCATTTCCATTAAAAGCCAGGCCGGAGCAGGACCCTTCTTTTGGAGTAGTGACTCAGTTGCTTCCAAGGCCCCTGCTATTGTGTGCAGCGCTGACCTGTACTCTTCTTCCCAGGGGAACTCTTGACGAGCTCTTTTTGCATAAGGCTGGGAAAAAAAACATAAGTAATATAAATATAAAGAACCTTCCTTTTGGACTGGAAAAAAGTTACGTGCAAATTTTATTCTAGTCATTGGATCACAAAGGTAGGAGGAGGGTGCACCCTGAAACCCCTACATAGTCATCTAGAAAAATATATAAAGCCATTTTGGTTTCATCATAGCAATTCAGAGTGCTGCTACTAGTGTCTTAGTTTGTATGTGGTATACAACAAGTATTCTGTCCCAAAGGTCTCCCAATGAGAAGTGCTGCATAGTGCAAGCTTACATGTCGTATAAACAAGTTCATAAATGTATTTTCTTCTTATGAAAGTTTGACTAAAACTTATCAGAATGTTGTTCTTCATGAATTACTACTATACTAAAATGCTCAAAACAATATTTTGAATATCCTTATTGGTGTCAAATTTCTGCCTTTTAATAGGCAGATGTGATCTTTAGATACTGCCAAAAATTATTAGGAGTCTGATTTGATTAATAAGGAAAGGAATCAAACTAAACATTTAGGAGAGTAAGTTTCTTTCATTTTCTTCTGTGGTTCAGTAAAGACTGCATTTATAGTATCATTGGTACAATATGTAACTTCCCTTAAAGGTTACTACCAGTAATTCAAACATACTGAAAGAATATATTTGGTACGGTATAGTCCCACTTCTGATTTTTAAAAGCAACTACCATAAAACAGAATTTTACATGTCTAGATCTGTTTGATTTGAAATTCAACATGAGGCTGGAAACCACATTGGTTTGTTTCATCAGTAAGTAATAAGGGCAGAATTTGCCTTGTTAAAGTTTGCCCCTATTGAAATCAGCCCGTACCTGTAAAGGTGACCTCTTTGCTTCTTCTACAGTCACATTAGCAAAGCGTTCCCAGAAAATACCTTTTTCCTGTTTCACACGTTCCACTTTGGCAGCTTCAGTTTCATCTACAAACCCAGTCTGCCAGGGACCATGAAAAACCAAGCAAATAGCAACATGTTAGCACTCTACTAGATATGAAATGGCCACATAATCTATGTAAGTGCTTAATGTTCAGCCATACTAGGCAAATTCTGGAAGTCACATGGACTGATCTTATAAATCCTCTTAGTATAATCTGGATTAAATCACTCTACTGTGTTCTTCCTTACAGAAAAGTTATAGAGTCGTCTTTGCAGGAAAAAATGATAGTCTGCTAACCTTTACTGTATTAGCTAAGAAACTGCCAACAGCAGTGTACACACATGTACTTAAAATCCAGCTTAGATGTAATATAAGTAGGCCAAGTGTGGTGGCTCACACCTGTAATCCCAGGATTTTGGTGGGAGGAATGCTTGAGCCCAGGAGTTTGAGGTTACAGCAAGCTATGATCACACCACCACACTCCAGCCTGGGCGACACAGAGCGAGACTCTGTCTAAAAAATAAAGTTCAGTGAGTCAAGTGGGCCCATCCCACCTAAAAAAAATGTACGTAATATATGTAAAATATATAACATGTGCATCATTACATGTAATATATAAAATAATTCACTTTCTCCGGGTAGTCTAAATTTGTGGTTTAACAGTTCCACTAGTATTTCAATTAACTATTATTTCCTCACACTAAGTTCCAAAGTATGCATAGATATAGGAACCCTGTTATTCAAAATTTTGGTTTTAATTGTAAAAACAGGCCTTGGCTGCAAAGAGAATAAAAAAGCCATCCCTTAAAAAAAAAAAAAAGACTCGGAGTTTACCCTGGCTTGGAAGACTGCCACCAAAAAAAGAGAAAAGCCATGCCTAAGTTATACCCAAAATATGGATGTTTACATCCTCTCAGGCCTACCTAATTATGTGATCAAGTGTATTTAATTATGATTATTAATGGCTTAGGGATCCTCATTAGTTATCTCACTGCCTGGATAATCAGTGCTATTAAACCCCAAACTACAGGCAGAGGAACTACAAGTGTTCTTTTTTGAGACAATCTCGCTCTGTCACTCAGGCTGGAGTGCAGCTGCACGATCTTGGCTCACTGCAACCTCTGCCTCCCTGGTTCAAGCAATTCTCCTGCCTCAGCCTCCTGAGTAGCTGGGACTGCAGGCGCGCACCACCATGCCTGGCTAATTTTTGTATTTTTAGTAGAGATGGGGTTTCACCATGTTGGCCAGGCTGGTCTTGAACTCCTGACCTTGTGATCCACCCACCTTGGCCTCCCAAAGTGCTGGGATTACAGGCATGAGCCACCATGCCCAGCCCCAAGTGTTTTACTTCTGTGGCCTCAATTGCTTAGTAAAAGTCTGTCCGCACTGTGCTGAGCACTGTGAAAAGTTTAAGAAGATACTCAGGTTGGTTACAGTTACATAATTTCAAAAAAAAAAAAAAAAAATAGGACAAAGAATAAAACATGAGCCATGTAAAGAAAGTACCTTCTCCAGAAAGGATACAACTTTGTTCTTAGTTTCTTCAGAACTGAGACACTGTGGAACTATCTCTTCGTGATTTGTTCCCTATTAAGAAATTGATGAACAAGACCAATTTTAACATATTTCAACAACTTACAAAGATAAGTTTTATGAGCTACCTTAACCAAAAATTCATTTTAAGTAAAAGAGTCCCAGAGGATCGTCAAAGGTGATAAACTCATGATTCCTTCAGGGTCCCTTAGGAGAATATAAAGTTAACTTCTGTACAAGTGTTATAGGCTTTCATTACTTCTGCTGGGTTATACTAATGCTTCTGGACTCCCTTATGATCATAGGCATGACTATACAGCAAATGCAGTAAGAGTAAAGGAGCAACCCATCTTACAGGTTTAGGTTCATCAGCCTAACCTTTATGACTGATAGTACAAAATGAAATGTATTATCATTTGAACCAAAAATACTATCTGCTTGAAGACTGTGTCTGTGTCAGTAGGCCTGCTGTGTATGCCTGTTCTAGTCCTTGTTTATTCAGAGGACCTTAGGAAATTCACTTCATTTCTCTAAGCCTCATTTTGAGAAGCTATAAAAGAAATAACGAGTAATGTACCCTTCAGACAATTTTCCGATTGCAATACAGAAGCAGTTCAATAAATGTTTTGGGATTGTTCTGGAATATTTGAAATATTAAAATGGTTTGAAAGTCATTGTGATAAATCAGTTTTACAATTACCTCAGCAAACTGAGTAAACGCCTCCAAGGTATGTTGTTCTAGCAGCCAACTCCTGTCAGCTAGCAGTAAGGCAAAAATACAGGACAGGTTGGGCAGAATTCTGTCCTAAAAGAACCAAGCCTTATTATAATAGAGAAACAGAAACCACAATAGATAATCATAAAACAGCCATACCTTCAGTAAACCCAGTGTTGTCAAGTTTCCATAATCCTGTCCCAGGGGACACACATTAAAACGTATTAGGTAATGTCACTCTTTTACTCAAATCCTTCCAGTAGCTCCCTATTTCCCTCCGAGTGAAAGCTAAAGTCCTCAAGTGGCCTGCCAAGTCCTGCTACCTCTGTGTTAGCTATACTGGCTTCCCTGAATATAAGAGGCATGCTCCCATCTGCAATGCTTTGCACTTCAGGTTTTTACTTGCATGTCATCTTGGTGACTGACTATATATCCCATTTCAAATTGGACTCCCACATTCCTATTCCCTATCTTCCTTCCCTGCTTTATTTTTCTCCATGGCACTCACCACCATTTAATATACTGCACATATCACCATGTTGTTATTGTTTATTGCCTCTAAACAGGCTAACAGTGGGGATTTATTAGTTTTGTTCATTACTGCATTGCCAGTGATTAAAATAGCACTGGATATGGCAAAAACTTATAATCTTTCCCAAATGGATAAATCAGTCAATCTCATTTCATAGCTTTGAATGCCTCCTATGTTCTTATGAATCTCAAAAATTTCTTCAGGTCTTGACCTCACTCCTGGGAATATAGAAGGCACTGCAATTTCTGCTTATATAACATTTGTTTCATAATTTCTAGGCCTGTGCATAGTCCACAGTGGTTCACAAATGCAGTGTCATTTTGGAATAGATTTCATGGTAAAAAGAAGACAGCTCAGATGCCAAGTGTCTTTGGATATTTTTGTCAAGAGAGTTGAAAAGAAGCTGTCAACGTTCTATGCTTATCTCATGAAATGTAACATTAACATGATGGAGACAGATGGGATACTGTTAACTTATGAACAAATAAAAGAGCCCCTTAGAAATTAAATTTTTGGTTTCAAAGAGTTTAATCCACATGTTCTGAGATACTATCATGTGTTTGATTACGTAAGAAAATTCTCATTAGTGGACTCTTTATAGTCTCTCCCTTGGAGGTTGCAGTGTCAATTATCTAGAATTACTATTGACTATAGTAATAAGGAAGGCGTAAACTCTCAATTTATGATCTCTTTGCTGTAATTTCTTTAAAATTACTGTACTGGCCTGGTAATATACATTTACTGAGATTTTAAAATTCTGTAGATGTGTATTGCCAGGCCAGTACAGTACAATTTTATAAATAATCCATTTGTCAGCTATACATACTTTGCAACATTTTCAAAAATATTGTCTTTAAAAACAAGCAGGTTCTCTTTCATGGATAAAAGAACGAAGAGAATAACTTTAATAAATTACCAAATTTCCTAGTTACGTGCTGCTCCCCATAGGACAAATACGTTTTCTATACTCAGGAACTGTACATTAGAACCCAACTGGAATGAGACTCTAACATAGTAGACTACAGCCAACTAAAAATTATTTGTGTATCAACATATATTTTTCTAAAAGAAAAGAACTTAAAATGAATTGTATTATAAGTTATAAATAGATTTTATAATGTCTGAAACATAGTTTTTTTTTTTTCCAACTTTGTCAGTAATTGCAAAATTTCAGAAAAAGCCTAAAAATCCCTTAATCACTAACTCTTATAGAGATTTTGTTTTAATAATACAAGAACAGAGTTAAGAAATATTACCTGGATAGCTTCAGGTATAAAAAGTTTTCCTAGAGAAGATACAAAATCCAGCATTGCCAGACGAACATAGTCAGGAGGCTCTAATTTAAGCAGTGAGGTCTGCAAAGTTACTACCTACAGAGGTGAAGACCAAAGAACAGTTACAAAGAATACCAGTATTTTGTACAGACACAGTAACTGCCTAAGATTTGGATGGAAATGTGGGGAGGGGAAACAAAACCAAACCCAGAAAAAAACAAACACACCACAGCCCCTGAACTTCACTGGTAGAATTTAAATAAGACAATCATATGAACAAGTTAACTATTACAGCATTATTCTTACCACACCCTCCTGCCTCAAACCACTGTAAAAATAAAAGTATACATGTTCCTGAAAAACTTTATATATCAAACCTTTAAACAATATTTTGTACAGACACTATTTTATAGTGCTTTGATTTATTGCACTTTGAAGATACTGTATTTTTTTTTTTTTACAAATACAAGGTGTATGGCAACTCTGTACTGAACAAGTCTACCTGTACCATTTTTGCAACAGCATGTGCTCACTTCATGGCTGTCAGATTGGTAATCCTTGCAATATTTCAACTTATTCGTCAGGATTTTATTATGTTGATCTGTGATCTTTGATGTTACTATTGCAATTGTTTTGGGGTGCCACAAACTATGCCCATATAAGATGGCAAATATAATAAATTGTGTGTTGTGACTGTTCTACCAACAGGTAGGTCACCAGTCTCTCCCCTTCTCCTTGGGCTTCCCTATTCTCTGAGACACAATATGAAAATTAAACCTAAAATGGCCTCTTAAGTGTTCAAGTGAAAAGAATAATCTCATCTCTCACTTGAAAGCTAAAGATAATTCACCCTGGTGAGGAAGGCTGTCAAAAGTCAAGAGAGGTGAAAAGCTAGGCCTCTTTTGCAAGTTAGCCAAGTTGTGAATACAAAAGAAAAGTTCTTCAAGGAAATGAAGAATGCTATTCCAGTGAACACAGAAAGTCTTATTGTTGATATGGAAAGTTTTAGTGGTCTGAATAGATCAAACCAGCCACAATATTCCCTTAAGCCAAAGCCAAATCCAAAGCCAGGCCCTAACTCTCTCCAATTCTGTGAAAGCTGAGAGGTGAAAAACCTGCAGAAGAAATGTTTGATGCTAACAGAGGTTGACTCACAAAGTTTAAGAAGCAATCTCTAACATAAAAGTACAAGGTGAAGCAACAAGTGCTGATGAAGAAGCTGCAGTAAATTCTCCAGAAGATCTGGCTAAGATCACTGATGGAAGTGGTTGCCTTAAACAATATATTTTTAATGTAGAGGAAACACCATTCTATTGGAAGAAGATGTTGTCTAGGACTTTCATAGCTAGAGAGATGAAGTCAATGCCTGGCTTCAAGATTCTTCTTGAGGGGTAATGCAGCTGGCAAAGTTGAAGCCAATGTTCACTTGCTATTAAAAAAAATCCTAAGGCCCTTAAGAATTCTGCTAAATTTACTCTGCATGTACTCTATCAATGGAACAACAAAGCCAGGATGATAGCATACCTGTTTATATCACTGTTTATGGAGTATTTTTTGTATTCCACTATTGAGAGGCCTACTGCTCAGAAAAGATTTCTTTCAAAATATTACTGCTTATTGACAATGCACCTGCTCACCCAGGAGCTCTGAAGGAGATATACAAGGAGATGATTGTTTTCATGTTTGTTAATACAACAATCATTCTGCAGCCCATGAATCAAGGAATTGTGACTTTCAAGTCTTACTATTTAAGAAATACATTTTATAAGGCTATAGCTGCCATGGATAGTGATTCCTCGATAAACCAGGACAAAGTAAATTGAAAACCTTCTGGGAAGGAGTCATCATTCCAGATGCCGTGAATAATATTCATGATTCATTTGTAGGAGGTCAAAATATCAACATTAACAGGAGTTAGAAGTTGATTCCAACCCTCAAGGATGACTTTGAGGGGTTCAGGCCTACAGTGGAGGAAGTAACTGTAGATGTGGTAGAAATAGCTAGCAAACTAGAAGTGGATCCTGAAGATGTGACTGAATTGCTGCAATCTCATGATCAAACTTGAGTGGATGAGGAGTTGCTTCTCATGAATGAGCAAAGAAAGTGGTTTCTTGACACAGAACTACTCCTGGTATAGAAGATGCTGTGAACACTGTTGAAATGAAAACAAAGAATTTAGAGTATTACATAAACTGAGTTGTTAAAGCAGTAGCAGGATTTGAGAAGACTGACTCTATTTTTGAAAGAAGTTTTCCTGTGGGTAGAATACCATCAGTATAGCATCACATGCTACAGAGAAATCATTCATGAAGGGAAGAGTCAATTGATGTGGCAGACTTCACTGTCATATTTTAAGAAATTGCCATGGCCACCCCAACCTTCAGCAACCACCATCCTGATGGGTTAGCAACCATCAACACTGAAGCAAGACCCTCCACCACCAAAAAGATTATGCTTTGCTGAAGGCTCATATGATCATTAGCATTTTTAGCAAGAAATTGTTTTTAAATTATATACATTTTTTACACATAATGCTGTTGTACACTTAACCTACAGTATAGTGTAAACATAACTTCTGTATGCACTGGGAAGCCAAAAAATTCATGTGACTCACTCTATTGTGGTGGTCTGGAACACAACCTGTAATCTCTCTGTGGTATGCCTGTATTGAAAATTCTATTGAGAGAAGTTCATTATTTAGTAAGGACTGGCAAGCTTTTTCTCTAACAGGCCAAATAGTAAATATTTTAGGCTTTGTAGGCAACATGTTCTCTGTTACATATTATTTTTTATTTTGCAAACCTTTAAAAATCATGCCTACCTCTTGGGCTGAAAACAGGAGGGCAAAATTTAGACAGGAGGTCATAATTTGCAAACCTCTAATTTAAGGGAATCTTAAGGTGAAATCTTTTATAAAGGAAGCAATACCTTTTGAACAATCTACTTAATTAAAAATTTTAGAATTTTGTTTGGGTTTTTTAAAGGTAGGCACATTATATCAAAATTATTTTTTCTGAAAGAATATTAAGAGGTTTCAGAATCAATCAAATTGTTGCATTCACTGAGTTAATTATTGTACTGATTCTTTATAAATTAGTAAAATCCATGTTATACATATGGTATAGTACATGTTATTGCTAACATATACACATCATTAAAAACAGCTACTAAAAGCAAAGCTGTAAGTTTCATTCCTTTCTGTTCTACCACATACTGTGACAGGAATCATCTCTTCCATCATCTTCATAAATAAGAAGGGTAGTTTCTCCTCTTAACAGTTATTGTTTCTCTTTCTTACCTGACCCTGAGCTTAAGCTAACTCTTAATTTGGGGCATCAATTCTCTCTAGTATGGACTCTTTCCAAAGCCTCTCAATCACTTCAGTTTAGCTGAAGGGCTTTCCCATTTTCTCTGTCATCTTAGAACCTCCAAAAGAAAGGCGCAGCTGAGGCACCACGACAAGGGTTGCCTAGACAGTGACCCAGGCTCTGCCTGTCCTAGCCATGTAAGCTGGAGGCCAAAGAGGAAATTCAGGAGGCCAAAGAGGAAATTCAGTAGTGCTCTTCTTTCAAAATAATTGTATTTCTTCAAAGAAACAATGGGTGCTATCTTTTAATCCATTTTGGTTAACTGATTCAACGTTCCCACAGCTGCTGAAATGCCTTTGAAACTGCTATGAATGCAGGGTTCAACACATGAACTACAACTCCTAACCTCAGGGGTTTGTGGGGGGTAGTTAACAGTAATAACAAAAAGTAGTGACTGCTCAGTATAGGGTGACAAAGAAGAACAGATAAAGGCTGAATTAACAGCGCCGTATATTAATAATACTGTAAGGAAGAAAGAAGAGAAATGAGATATCCTTGATGAAGACAAGTCAATATATGACACAACAGGAGGTTTAAAATAACTATTTCTAGAAAGCTATTTTACATGATAGCAATTTAGCAACCTCCTAAGCAAACAAAGTATCAATTTGGTCATTATTCTTACCTGAACTATCAGTTTAGGATCTAGAGTTTGAATGAAAAATCCCAACAGTGGAAGTAAAAGGCTGAATGTCTGCTGAATGTAAGGTTGATCTGCTACCTAAGAAACACAAAATAATTTTGAAGAAAAAGTTTCAATCACGTAAGAATTACTATAATAGCAAACTTTTACTGAGCACTTATTATATATCAGGTAATATGTTAAGCATTTTATATTACCTCATTTATGCCTTACAACAGCTCTGTGAGGTAGATATTATTACCTTTACTGATAAGAAAACAGGGTCAAAGAGGTTAAACAATTTGTTCAAGATCACGTGGCTATGATAAAAAGCAGAGCTGTGATTGAAATCCAAATGTAAGTCTAAAAGGGATCTAATTACTTGTCTGTGACTGAAAGGCTTATATGTTCCTTAGTCATCTTAAATTTCATTTCTCTTCTTCATAATTTTGGTTTACATTATAATATTGTAAGGTATATCCCCATCACAGATATCCTGAATGAATACTGAATGATTTGTGAACATCCGGGAAAGTACTTGTTGAAGTCAAAACAATGCAGTAGGGTAATCTGACCATAAAAAAAAATAATAATAAAACATTATCTGTAAAATCATTTCTATCATTTCCCAAAAGTATGGCTGTTGCCTTTAGCTTCCACTAGCTGCCAGAGGCCAGTGTTATACTTAGTCAAAGAAAACAAACAGCCTATTTATATTTTTAAACTAAGAAACAGGTGTACAACCATGGTGTGGGAGGCATATCATTAGTTTTAGATCATCACTTGGCTTCTTGGCTTTGCTGGGAAAGAGAAATAGAAATTAGCCACATCTATTCACTAGCCCTTTCTGCCTTTAAGTCAGCTCACTCTCCATTGCCCAAAAGATTTATTAAAGGTCCTAGAATCACAGAAATGGGATACATTAACCCAAAACAGAACAGAAACAATAGGGGAAGAGATAAGGGGCGGGGGGGGGGGGGAGGGTATAACCAGTTAGAAAAGTAAGTAGGTGGACTGCCATCACATCACATATTCTAATTTTACTAATATAATGCTATCACACTCTGAAAATGACAGCGGCCTGAGACAGTACAGATACTTTAAGTTCTTATAAAGGTCTACCAAACACCCAAAAGAATTAGTTTTTACTCTACACTGGAAAATTTCAGTACTATCCTCTTTTTTTGATATTTTCTGTTTTTTGATAAAGGATCAGTTGTTTTCCTTACCTGTTTAATGTTTAAAAAAGCCCAAAGCTGACTCACAACTTCCATAATTGCAGTTTGTTTTCCTGTATCCAAAGCTTCACCAGCAGAATTACATATTGTAAGCAGAGCAGACAGTACTGTGTTCTAAAGGGCAGAAACAAGAAAGGACTTGAGTTTAAATACCAGTCTAAAGCACCACCAAGAGCCCACTTACCTAGAGATTATAAAAGTTACTTTTAACTCTTCATAAAAGTCCATGTAGAATAATATTTCTAAGAGCCAAAGCCATCTTTTCAGCTATTTACTTAACATCAGTATATATTATATTTGCTTTGTTTTTCTAAATAAACTTTTTTTTTTGAGACGGCATCTCGCTCTGTCACCAGGCTGGAGTGCGGTGGTGCAATCTCGGCTCACTGCAACCTCCAACTCCCAGGTTCAAGCAATTCTCCTGCCTCAGTCTCCTGAGAAGCTGGGACTACAAGCATGCACCACCACACCCAGCTAATTTTTGTATTTTTAGTAGAGACTTGCTTTTCATCATGTTGGCCAGGATGGTCTCGATGTCTTGACCTTGTGATCCGCCTACCTCGGCCTCCCAAAGTGCTAGGATTACAGGTGTGAGCCACCGCACCCAGCCATAAACTTCCTTTTAGGGTGAAATGTTGGAACCCAAGGTTACCAAATGAAAGCAGAAATGTACTTTAATAAATAGCTTTGATACAAGTGGTCAGTATAATCAAGCTACTTTATAATACACATCAACAAAAAGTTATTTTTTCACATTACGCACCCAGCAATCTTTATGGTTTACTAGATTTTTATTTTTCCTGTTGTCTGAAAATTTTAAATGCCTCAGCAACACTGCATTTAATAAGCAAAGACAGTACTTAAGAAGTACTAGTATTTGAAACTAAAGGCAATCTTTTCTGGATTAACTCTTATCTATGTATGAAAATACTCCATTCTCTCTCTGACTAGCCAGGAATGAGGTTTTTTGAGGTGTGGTGGGGGTACAGGGAAGGTCTTATGAGAATGTAATAATCAGTAACAATGAATGCCTTTAATCTATTATACTTAGACAACCACACTTAATTTTATGAAATTACCATACAACTTCTTAAGATTTACCTGTTTCCTTTTACAAATGAACATGTTCTAGATGCAGAAATCCTCAAAACAATACTAGCAAACGAAATTCAACAGCACATCAAAAACTTAATTCACCATGATCAAGTACACTCCATTCCTGGGATGCAAGATTGGTTCAACATATGTAAATCAATAAGTGTGATTCGCCACATAAGCAGAATTCAAGACAAAAACCATATTGATTATCTCAATAGACATGGAAAAGCTGTTGGTAAAATCCAACATCCCTTCATAATAAAGGCCGTCAAGACACTATGCATCAAAAGAACATACATCAAAATAATAAGAGCCATCTATGACAAACTCACAGCCAACATTATACTGAACAGGCAAAAACTGGAGGCATTCCTCTTCAGAAATGGAACAAGACAAGGATGCCCACTCTTAACCACTCCTATTCAACATAGTATTGAAAGTTCAAGCCAGAGCAATAAGGCAAGAGAAAAAAATAAAAGCAGCATACAAATAGGAAAAGAAGAAGTCAAACTGTTTCAGGATACAAAATCAATGTACAAAAATCAATACCATTTCTATACACCAATAACATTCAAGCTGAGTGGCAAATCAAGAAGACAAGGTTGGGTGTGGTGGCTCACGCCTGTAATCTCAGCACTTTGGGAGGCCGAGGTGGGCGGATCACGAGGTCAGGAAATCAAGACCATCCTGGCTAACATGGTGAGACCCCGTCTCTACTAAAAATACAAAAAATTAGCCGGGTGTGTTGGCGGGTGCCTGTAGTCCCAGCTACTTGGGAGGCTAAGGCAGGAGACTGGCGTGAACCCGGGAGGCGGAGCTTGCAGTGAGCTGAGATAGCCCCACTGCACTCCAGCCTGGGCGACAGAGACTCCGTCTGAATAACAACAACAACAAAAAAACACAATCCTGTTTACAGTAGACACATGCACACCCCTAGGAATACATTTAACCAAGGAGGTGAAAGATCTCTTCAAGGAAACTATAAAATTGCTAAAAGAAATCATAGATGACACAAACAAATAGAAAAACAGTCTGTGCTCATGGATTGGAAGAGTCAATATCATTAAAATGGCCATACTACCCGAAGCAATCTACAGATTCAATGCTTTTCCTACCAAACTACTGACACCATTTTTCACAGAATTAGAAGAAACTATTCTAAAATTCATATGGAATCAAAAAAGAGCCTGAATAGCCAAAGTAATGATAAGCAAAATGAAGAAGGCCAGAGGCATCTGAAACTATAAGACTACAGTAACCAAAACAGCATGATACTGGTATAAAAACAGAAATAGATCAATGAACACGATAGAGAACCTGCAAATAAAGCCACCTACCTACAACCACGTGATCACTGAAAAAGTCAACAAAAACAAGTAATGGGGAAAGGATTCCTATTCAATAAATGGTGCTGGGCCAGCTAGCTAGCCTATATGCAGAAGAATGAAACTGGATAGCTACCTTTCAGCATATACAAAAATTAACTCAAGATGGATTAAAGATTTAAATGTAAGACCTCAAACTATAAGAATCCTAGAAAAAAACCTAGGAAACACCATTCTAGACCTCAGCCTTGAGAAAGACACCAGTAGCAATTGCAATAAAAGCAAAAATTGACAAGCAGGACCTAATTAAAGAGCTTCTGCAGAGCAAAAGAAACTATCAACAAAGTAAACAGACAACCAATAAAATGGGAGAAAATACTTGCAAACTATGCATGTGACAAAGGTCTACTATCCAGAATCTATAAGGAACTTAAAACAACTGAACAAGTAAAAAACGACCCCATTAGAAAATGGGCAAGAGACATGAACAGACGTTTCTCAAAACAAGACACACAAGAGGCCAACGAACATATAAAAAAACTATCAGGGAAATGCAAATCAAAATCACAATGAGATACTATCTCACACCAGTCACAATGGCCATTTAAAAAGTCAAACAACAGACATTGGTGAGGCTATAGAGAAAGTAAATGCTTATATACTGTTGGTAGGAATGTATATTATTTCAGCCACTGTGGAAAGCAGTTTGGCAATTTCTCAAAGCACTCAGAACTACCATTCTACCCCGCAATCTCATTACTGGGTACATATCCAAAAGAAAACAAATTGTTCTACCAAAAAGACACATGTACTCACGTGTTCATTGCAGCACTACTCACAACAGCAGACACTGAATCAACCTAGATGTCCATCAACAGATTAAAGATAATGTAGTACATATATACCATGGAATAGTATACAGTCATAAAAAAGAATGAAATCATGTCCTTTGCAGCAACATAGAGCAGCTAGACACCATTATCCTAAGCAAATTAATACAGGAATGGAAAACCAAATATCACATGTTCTCACTTATAAGTAAGAGCTAAACACTGGGCACTCATGGACATAAAGATGGCAACAATAAACACTGGGACTACTAGTAGGGGGAGGGAGGAGAGAGGATAAGGACTGATAAACTGTTGGGTACTATGCTGAATACCTGGGTGATGAAATCATTGATACCCCAAACCTCAGCATCACACAATAAAACCAGGTTAACAAACCTGCACAAGTATCCCCTAAATCTAAAATAAAAGTTGAGGCTGGGTATGGTGGCTCACTCCTGTAATCCCAGCACTTTGGGAGACTGAGGCGAACAGATCACCTGAGGTTAGGAGTTCGAGACCAGCCTAGTCAACATGGCTAAACCCTGTCTCCACTAAAAATACAAAAATTAGCCAGGCATGGTGGTGGGTGCCTGTAATCCCAGCTACCTGGGAGGCTGAGGCAGGATAATCGCTTAAGAGCCGAGATCATGCCACTGCACTCCAGCCTGGGCAACAGAGCAAGACTCCATCTCAAAAAATAAAATAAAAAATAAAAGTTGAAAAAAAATTTAAAAAGACGTACGTTGAACAACCTGCTGGACTAAAAAGCTGTGGTCATACTTCAAAAGTTTACTTATAGTGCTTTTACTTTACCTAATATAAAACAAAACATCTTTTGTCTTTACTATAGAAATTGGTACACATTAAATGCAAAACTCAGACACATTTAACCTGTTAACAAGGTATTTAACAGTTTTTCTAAAATAAAGTCACATAAAAACATTTCCTTTGGATAAGCCTGGGCACTGTGGCTCACACCTGTAATCCTGGCACTTTGGGAGGCCAAGGCGGGTGGATCACCTGATGTCAGGAGTTCGTAACCAACCTGGCCAACATGGCGAAACTCCGTCTCTACTAAAAATACAAAAAATTAGCTGGGCATGGTGGTGGGAGCCAATCCCTGCTACTCAGGAGGCTGAGGCAGGAGAATTGCTTAAATCTGGGAAGCGGAGATTGCAGTGAGCCAAGATTACGCCATTGCACTTCAGCCTGGGCCATGAGAACAAAACCTCATCCCCCCACAAAAAATTATAATAATTATGATCAAGTGTCATTACATATAACAGTATCAGAACATTTGTACTCAGCATGGAGACATATGCCCTCAGAAAACCCTGAACTCCTAAGTTAGAATTGCAAATAGACCTCTGTCCCTTTGAATGCCCTATCCTTATCCTTGCTTTTCTCTACTTAATGTAAATTGGCATTTCTTATTTTACTGTCCACTGCTAAGCTCAAATGTGAGTCTATGAGAGTAGAAATTTTTGGTTCCCGATGTACTTCCAATGCCTAGAACAAAGTGGCACATAAAAGTACTCCAAATGTATTTGTTGAATGAATGAATGAGCGTATGAACACTAAACTGGAAAATTCAATTTCATGTACTATATCCAGTCAACTTTTTAAAAGCTCGCATTTCCTACTTCTTCTAGTGGATGAGTCTCTTTTTATTATTCCATTATTTTATGAGGGAACATTCTATGTAAAAGGTACATAAAGGTTCAGAGTAAGTTCACATAAAATGGGGGTTGTATTTTGTCAAATGGAAGAATTACATCTGCCTAATCCAGAGATGCATCAGCAAAAATACACAACTGAAGTGTTCCATAGTGTGTTTGATCATGTCTCAACATGTCTTAAGCAACATAGGAAACAACCCCCCAATATAATACATCAATTAAAATAACAGTACGTTTCTCACAGATTCTTTTACGATGTAGAAATCTGAAAATCTTACTAGGTTTTAACAGAAACAGAGTACAGAGCCTGTGTGCTTGTTATTAACAACCTATCCCCGTTACCTAAAACAATGCTTAATAAATAGCTGCTGAATGAATAAAATTAATCAAAATTATTATCTTACCAGAGATTCTAGTTCTCCCAAAGTACGACTGCTGCTCAGCCATTTCCTGCATTCTGTTGTGCCTACCGTGGAGACCTCATGGACAGTTTGTTTCCTAAGCTCAGCAGGTAACGCCTGGAAGGAAATATGCTGCCAGAGAGGCAGATTTTCTGCTTCTTGTGGGGAAAATTTATGGATAAACTCCAGCTGAAATAAATTGTTAAAGAAAGAAGAGTAATATGAGACAAGTCAGAGGAATGGATACACAAAAGCTAAGTATTTGTTTCCACATTTAATATTTCAAGAAAGCTTTTTAATAGTACCGTAATATCTATGTTCCAGACCAAGGTAACATAAATGAACATACCTTATTATTATTGTTGTTGACACTGCACTGGTTTCCAAAACAAAAACACAGCTTAAGTGGAGCACGATATAAATGCACTAAGCCATTAAATAATGTATTTCATTATTAGTTATGTCAGATATCTTATCATGCTCCTACTTACCAATAAGTCTTATTTTTCTGTATACTCCTCACCTTGTAGTTAAGTCAAAAGTAACATTCCAAATATACAAACTGGATTTAGTCAACCTTCATAGCTTACTATTATCTCACTTGATTCATAGCAGAGAACTTAAAGAAGCAAAGATTCAGCTTTAAACTGAGTTAGCTGGTTCTGCCCTACTTTAGACAACATACTAAATCAGTTTCACAAAGGTAAGCCACAAATCAAAAAGAATGTGGTTGGCAAATCCATTCCACCACTGAAATAACAATTCAAAGTGCTTACTAGGTTAACAGAAAAGTACTGTTTTGTTAAAATGCAGATGTTACAGACTAGATACAAATGGAAAACAAGAGTTCTAAGAAACAGTTTAAATGCTGAATCAGTTTTTGGTGGAAAAATGGTAAAACCAATGGTGCATTTAATGATTAAAATAAGTATAATCCGACTAGGAAGTATATTAGTGTATTTTCTAAGAAGTAGAATAATTCAATTTAAAATATTCAAAATCTATTTGATGAAAACTTGTCCTACACCAAAAACTAAAAACCCACCAAAAAAAATTAAATCGGACAGAGAAACTTTTCCGTCATATACTATATTTGTATTTCAATTTTACTTCTTTTGTGGAAAATATTTACCTGTCAATACAAGCTAGACATTATGTGGCTATCTGCTGTGACGGAGGCTACAGCCAGAAAAACAGATCCCTTGATGAGCGAGTGTCTATTATAAAAAGCAGCTTTATTCATAAAAGCAAACTACATCAGGAAAGCCAAGAGAACTGTGCCAACTGGTAAACATCAGTTCAAGTATCACCTTTCTTTATAATAAAGTCCAGTAAGTGAGTGAACTACTTCCCTTTCCAAAATGGAAACTAAAAATATAATGTCCTGGACGACATAAAAGGGTAGGTATTGCCAAAATTTGTTACAGAAAGAGTTCAAGATTCTATTCTGAGGTTGAAAACCCTGGTTTCAACACAATTCTAAAGACTTAAAACTGCTATGACAAAATAGTTCATAAAAGACTAAAGTATAAGGGAATAATACACAGAGAATTATGATTTCCCTCCTTAAAATTGGAAAGAGAAAAAATACACTTTTGGGTTTAAAATGTAAATGCAGTAATTTTTACTTTACATTAAAAAGATAGTACAAACTATCAGTGTGCTTAGATAAGGCATATTAAATGCTTTTCCCTCAAGTAGGTAACTTCCTTGTATTTTTGCTTTTCTTGATAAAATGGAATACTATTAATAGTTACATACTAAAAGAAATAATTACCCCTCATATTAAAACAGTAAATGCATTCTAACATCTATTTCTATTGGCATTTTCTTCCAAATTAGCATCATAGACACTTTTGTTTTTTAAAGTATGTTATCACCATACTATTTTCATTTATGTTAAGGCTACATCACTAGTAAAAAAAATTTGGGTTCTTATTTTACTATTTAAAAAGACAACATCTTGTATGCAAATAGCTGAATAATTATTTCAAGTTTCATTGCTCGCTTCTCCTTTTTTCTCTAATATGCTTTATTGCCTTTGCTTCTCTAGTCCCACCACCTTCCACATTCATCCTGTAACACGTACCTCAAATGCCATCAACTCCAACTCCTATGTCTACCTGTTCCCATGCTGCACCTCTTCAGAAATGACTGTCTCAGCTACGAACACCCAACAACATTTGATTTGTGCCTCAGTTTTGGCATTCATCACAAACCACTCTTTAATATGAGTATCTTTATACATTTATAGTTTATACTAGATTTTATGTTCCTTGAGATATCATGAGATAGTGCAGTGGTTTCCAAGCTGTAAAGAGAGTCCTGCTATGTTGTCCAGGCTGGACTTGAACTTTGGACTAAATAAAACGATCCTCCGATCCTCCTGCCTCAACATCCCAGATCAGCTGTTAGGTGTGAATTTGTGGAAGTTATTTAATTTCCTTGAGCTACTGTTTCTTCATCTGTCAAATGGACACAATATTATCTATCCCACAATATTATCTATCCTTGTAATCCTTACAAGGCTGCTGTAAGGATTAAATGAATTAAGTGCCTGGCCTGGTACAGTCTCAAAAATATTATTTCCCGTCCTCCTTCCTTTAAGAGAAAGGATAATGTCTTAAGGGGTTAAAAAAAAAAAAAAAAAAAGAGCCAAACAGGAGAGGAGACCTAACATTTGTTAAATGGTCTTTTCATGCCATATGTATATTCTCTATCTTATCAAGTTTCTTAACTGCCATATGAGTATTAGTATCTATCTCAATTTTATAATTAACTCTCCTAAAGACTCTCAGAATAGGTATTCAGATTCAGGTTTCTTAAGTTTTATCACAATAACTTGTACATAAAGAAAATCTGCATTCGATAACTGAAGATACAAATTAAAAGTAACCGTTCATTTACCTATAATTTATATATCTGATAGCCTCATTTGGAAAAATTTAGAAAATTGAGAGTAAGAGATCTCCAGGCATAGACTATAATTTATCTAATTTAGAACACTGCTTCTAGACCTCATAGCTAATTCATTCTGAGTTATATTATTTTAAAAGTTAAAATTTTCACAACCACTTTGGGAAAATAATTTTATTCCTGTTGTATAAATAAGAAAATTGAGGTTAAAAGGAAAGTGACGGCTGAGCTCAATGGCTCACACCTCTAATCCCAGCACTTTGGGACGCCAAGGCAGGAGGATCGTTTGAGTTCAAGTCTGAGACCAGCCTGGGCAACATAACCCTGTGTCTAAAAAAAAAGGAAAGGGATTTTCTTAAAGTCTTATGACATGTGACCCTTTCCCTCCCAGTCCCACTTCTTCTAAGAGATCTGGAGTAGAAAATTCTTTTGGAAGCAAGCAAGCTTCCCATGCTCTTAGAGGGCTAATAGGTGGGGCTACCTTTAAGAAAAAGAAGGCTAAGAGGTAGTTGTAGTACCTCTGGTTCCTGACCAACCACTCTAGGGCAGGAACAGACTTGGACTTGGGGCAAAAACCCGAGTCAGAAATAACTCCTAGCATTTACTGAGCACCCTCTTAAACCTAGCACTATGCTGTTTTCCATGTATTAGTTCCAAGTCTTTACAAACTTTTTCAAAACAGTTATACATATGTTCTGTTTTGCAGACAAGGAAAATGAAGTTCAGAAAGGATGACTTGCCCAAGGTCATGGTATGCCAGGATTCAAAGCAAGGACCACAAGACCTTAAATTCTAATCCCCTTCACTAATCTAGTGGTTCCCAAGCTTAGATCCAAGTCTGACTCACATAGGAACTTAATGATAGTACCAACAAAAACCAATTATTGAGCCTTACTTCATACCCATGCCTCCATACCCACCCATCCACAGATTTAGAGTCCAGGAACTTATATTTTTAAAAGAGCTCATACAAGAGTTCCGATGTGACCAGTCTGAGGGACTGCACTAGGCCATACAGGTTTATGTAAGTAAAGACCATTAAGAACAAAAATAATATTCTAGCTCTTCAAAATAAAAGGGGCAGGGGATATGGAACCATTTCATTTCATGTATCTCAAATATATATGAAAAATAAGGGGAAAGATCTATTTCAGGAAGATGGAATTAGAATAATTATTATAACTTGAAGCAAGGACATCAAAATCTATACCCAGCTGAAAGCAATAAACAAAGCAATCAACATGTCAAAAATTTATACTTAGATCACACCAATATTTAAATTTAAAATAAATGGAGGCAAGGCTAGGCAGAGTGGCTCACACCTGCAATCTCAGAACTTTGGAAGGCAGAGATGGATCACTTGAGCCCAGGAGTTTGAGACCAGCCTAGGTAACATAGTGAGACCTAGTCTCTACAAATAATTTTTTTAAAAATTAGCCAGGCGTAGTGGTGTGTGCCTGTAGTCCCAGCTACTCAGGAGGCTGAGGTGGGAGGATTGCTTGAGCCCGGGAAGTTGAAGCTGCAGTGAGCTATGGTTGAGCCACCGTACAACCAGCCTGGGTGACAGAGCGAGACCCTGTCTCAAAAAAATAATAAAATAAAATTTTTAAAATGGAAAAAAAAAGGCTATCAAAGGAGTCTGAATCCAACTCTGAGCAGGTTCATAGACAGTGACAAAAATGATATCCTTCCTTGCCTGATGGGGTGGGGCCATGAAGAAAAAGAGACGCTTCAACAGTATTGATAGGTTGATGAGTTGATAACATTCTCCAGGGCATGATTTTATCTGGAAAAAGACATGAGAAAGAGAGGAGAGATTGACTAATTTAGAATCAGAATTTTTGTAAGAAGAGAATATGCCAAAATATTAATAGCAGCTCTTTCTAGGGGAAAAGATTGTAGTAATATTGACTTTTAATTTGGGGCTTTTCTTTTTTACCTTCAATGAATCTAAATTTAGAATGAGATTGAAATTTTGACATTATATTTAAAAATAACACTGTAATTTCTATTTCTAATTATCATTTTGATAACTTGGTATGTCAGTCCAAAGACAATTCATGGAACTTTTTAAGATCTAACTACAATAATAGAGAGGTAGATAAAACTCTACAAGACAGAAGCTCATTAAAAGACATTATAGAGGCTGAGTGTGGTGGTTCGCAACTGTAATCCCAGCACTTTGGGAGGCCAAGGTGGGAGGACTGCTTGAGCCCAGGAGTTTGAGACTAGCCTGGACAACACAGCAAGAACCCCATATCCACAGAAAGTTTTAAAATTGAGCTGGGTATAGTGGTGCATGCCTGTAGTCCCAGCTACTCAGGAGGGTGAGGGAGGAGGACCATTTGCACCCAGAAGTTTGAGGCTGTAGTGAACTATGATTGCACACCACTGCATTCTAGCCTGGGTGACAGAATGAGACCCTGTCTCTAAGAAAAAAACCTCCACTAACAAAAAAATGTTATAAACTCAATTTTATCAATTCCTATCACAATATACTATCATTCCATCCTGGAATCAATTTCTATCATAATGAACTAGAAGAAATCCATTCCTACACCATAATGCACTGAGAAGCTTTTATTTAAAGGAAACCTGAGACATAAAACACATAACATAAAAATCACTCTTTATCTGCTTTGTGAAAGATATGTTAAGGATTTAGTAAAGTGGGTAAGTGATAATCCAGACCATCAGCCATGGAGATATAGATGTCAGCTGTTCATGATATTACACACCTCACTGTCTGATGTACAAAATCCTTTAAAGGTAAACCAAGAAATGTAAGATACAATAAGACTATTAGAAAGCAAAAGATGTATGGCCTACATAAGATCTTAAAGGCCAGGGACAAAAATACATAACAAATAGGTCATAATCATCTTATATGGAACACATAAAACACTTCAGAATTTAAAAGCAAAAAATGTTAATGTTAAAAAGATGAAATCATTATTAAATCATTTTCTTTATGTACCCATTCATAAAACATGACTTCTTTTGCCAAAAACATCTATCACTGTCAAATTCAAGTTCCTCTCAAATCATCTTGACTTAAAAAAAAAAAAATACAACAAAATCAAGGGTCAGCTTGTCCAAGGCATATTAGAGAGACAGAGGAGAGAGACCTCTTGGCCATCAATTATAAATCGCTCTTATTTTCTACTTTGTATTCAATTTTAAATGTAATCTCAACCTAGTCTTTCCTTCCCAGAACAATTACTGAAATTACATAAAATCCTGAGAATATGAGAAAATATCCCCAGTTTCACACTAACAGTTTTTCAGTACATCCTTCTTAAAAGCATCAGCATTAACACAGGACAAAGACTGTCAAAACAATCTTGCTACTATGATATTTCTCCCGCTGATATTCACATTCTTAAAGATTATCATATCCCCAAAGGAACTGCATAGAGAGTGGGTATTCTAGGCCTTGTAATTCTACGCACCAGATGAGCCACTATGGTGACATGGTGTGCACAGAGTTCAGCAGTCCCATATCTGCAATATAAAGAGAAGGCAACTGGGTTTATACAGTTACTCAGAAACACAAGGAGATGAACTTGCATAAAGCACTAAACATTCTGATGATGACATTAAAAACTGCCATTACTTCCATGACCAAATAGTATCACAATATACAAAATTCCCTAAACAGTACTCATCTATTGGCTTGAACCAAAGAAAGAAGAGAACTTGTTTCCTAATTTAATGCTGTAATACGAAATCAAAGCATTTTGGGAATTATTATTAAAGGATTATTGAAACATAGTTTTTCTATAAACTTACAATTATAAAATTATTTACTGTCAGTCACTACTAATAACCAATCCAAAGAAAAAGCAAATACGTTGTACCGAGCAAGGAAGCACCATGCATCCATAGCTAACAAAGAGGTGATCATATTAGCACTAAGTACAGCATTCAGCAGAGCAGCATCCTAATCAAAAACAGAAAAATTTATTTAAATACTAAAATTCACAATAATAGTATTATATTTCTCAAAATAAAACAAGAAAGCACTATCAGAATCCAAAGAACAGATCCTCAATGGGAAAGTTCTACTTTCTAGTATCTAAAAGGACACTGTCATTCCCTCAATATTTATTGAGCACCTACTATACATTAAGTACCGTGCTGTGCTATGGAGAGTTCAACATGGTTTTAAATGTGGTAACTCAATCACGAGGATCCACAAAGATTCTCTAAGTAGCCTGAAATATTCAAAACAACATATATAACATATATGCTTATACTCTTCTTTCTGCTTTTATTCACATACAATATTTAATAGGTCCTAGATATTATGTAATATCTGAAATGCTACTGATCCTTAAATTTCAGATATTACAAGTATCAAATTCCCAGAACTTCTTAACCTCTTTTCGAATCAAATTCTATTTTTTGAAAATCTACATTATATCTGAGATCTAAAAGAGCCCTGGTACTACAAGCTATTAATTTTTCTTTTGACTTAAGTACCACATATTTTTTCCTCTTCTCACACTGTCTTTGCCTACCTCCCCACCCAAAATGTTTTCTCAAATATTTTAGCCAAATATTAGATCTACACAATATAGGAATCTAGGATTACCATTTTCTAGGATACAACTAAGTTTCATTCAAAATGAATACACGTAAAGTATTCCCACACTTTCTTCTGTATATGAATCACAATTTCAGTGAAGAGAAAGCAAAAGTCTAACCTTAGCTTAGCACAGTAATATGCTTACCAGTTCAGCAAATAGTGAGGGATGAAAAGAAGTAATAAATGTACACAGATGAACACAAACATGCTGATACAATGTGACAGCCACCTCAGCTTTCCCCTTACTCTTTAATCCCTGCAAATGAACAGGTAGAGAGAGTTCACCAGAACACTGCTCAAAACTGTAGAAAATGGCTTTGAGTAGAGATATCCTGCAGAGAAATTGAGAACATTGAACCCAACGTTAATAACATTTACTAATTAGCAAGTATAATAATAATACATAACATGGAAGATTGTTTAAGCAAAGAAAAATTTCAAAAGGTATACTCAGCAAGTTTCCAACATGTGTGAATATGCACACATAAAAGGAAAATACAGTGTCAAAGAAAATTTTTAATCAGATATTTATGTAATTAATAGTTATTGTGTAGACCTCATGTGTGTCAAAAAACATTTTTTAATCAGATATTAATGTTAACAGTTATTGTGTAGACAATATATATTGCTACTTTATAACAGTAGATAGATATAAAATATATAAGCCTATATTAGATGCTAAAAATATTTTAATATTTTAATTTTGTTCAGTATTGCTTAATGGTCAGCATTATAAACATTGATTTTAATAGAGTAGCTATAAGTAGAAGCATGTAAAAATGAGCTCTGATAAATAGAACACTAGACTATAGGTATATATGTAAGGTATATCCTGGCAAATTTTACCTTTAATCATCTTCCTTGCCAACACCATAGTCCACGCTCTAGTTTCTTTCTTCCCGGATTACTCTGCTCTAATTTTTCACCTCTTCCTTTATCCCATTCTGTGTACCATGATGAGGTTAGTCTCCCTAAACCTGGCTCTGAGCTTCTATTCTGCTCAAAAACTGAAGCATAATGTTAGAACTTCTCAGCTTTGGAATAAAAGCCTGTCCCATACTGTTGCCATCTTCTATTTTTGCTCCTCATTCTTGTATTCATTTTCAACAAATATTCCTTGTTTCTGTCACACTCCTTATTTATGTCTTCCTTTTATTCATGCTTTTGTCTTCTTTACATACTTACAATTTGACAGTTTTGTTGTTTTGTTTGGAGCAGGGTCTTGCTCTGTCACCCAGGCTGGAGTGCACTGGCACGACCATGGCTCACTGCAGCTTCAACCTCCTGGGCTCAAGTGATTCTCCTGCCTTAGCCTCCTAAGTAACTGGGACCAATGGTATGTGCCAGCTGTCCTGGCTAATTTTTAAATTTTTTCTAGGGATGAGGTCTCACTATGTTGCCCAGGCTGGTCTTCCAACTCCTGGGCTCAAGTGATCTTCCTGCCTCAGCCTCCCAAAATGCTGGAATTACAGGCGTGAGCCACTACACCGTGCCCATAACTTGACTATTTTTAATTTGTTGTTTAAATCCTCTAAGTTTCTTCAACCATTTTAATCTTAAAATGACTCCTCCTTTTCTGCTACTTATTTTCTGTTTTCCATATAATATCTAATTTAGCTATTTAAGTTTCAAGTTCCTTGAGGAACTCTGACTTTGTATAACTCAGTACTAAGATAAACAGTTGGTAAATGATGCAAAAAATGTCCACAAAAATTCTCCTTTAAGGAATTTCTTTAACAGTGAATTACTTTGACAGTACATAAATGTTATGTACACAGAATGGGATAAAGGAAGAGGTGAAAAATTAGAGCACAGAGTAATCCGGGAAGAAAGAAACGAGAGCATGGACTATGGTGTTGGCAAGGAAGATGATTAAAGGTAAAATTTGCCAGGATATACCTTTTATATATATATATATATATATATACCTATAGTCTAGTGTTCTATTTATCAGAGCTCATTTTTACATGCTTCTACTTACAGCTACTCTATTACAATCAATGTTTATAATGCTGACCATTAAGCAATACTAAACAAAATTAAAACATTAAAATATTTTTAGCATCTAATATAGGTTTATATATTTTATATTTATCTATTGTTATATAGTAGCAATATATATGTGTGTGTAGCACACACATATGAGGTCTACACAATAACTATTCACATAAATATCTGATTAAAAAAAAACAAAACTTAATTTCAAGACCATTCCAAACAACAGAGCATTCTCAACCATTGGTAATGTGACTGGATAAAAACATGTTTGCTACCTGGTTGTAGTTTCTGAGGCCTGGCTGTCTGTGCACCACAGGGTTTGCACTTCCTTAGACTGAAATGGCAGCTTATCCATGACAACAACCAGAAGAAGACATTGTGGAAACTGTAGTTCACATGGCAGGTCTTACATGTAATAAAAACACATTAATTCAGCAGAAACCTGATTAATACATAGAGGAATTTTTTTTTTTTTTTTTT